AGTTATGAAATTAAAGAGGAACCACTAAGAAAGTATGTCGCCAAAGTGCATGAGTTGAGAACTCAGTTCAAACTGTTCAAGCTCAAACAGGTCCCACGAAGCCAAAATAAGAGAGCGGATGCACTGTCCAACCTAGCCTCCACCTCAGTGAGCAAGTTGAACAAGGAGGTCTTGGTGGAGGTCGTCAGAAATCGGGCATATGATCAGGTAGACGCGGCCGTTATTCAAGTAAGGGGCTCATGGATGGATCCCATCGTGCGATACCTAGCCAATGGAGAGCTCCCCTCGAGTTGGGTAGAGGCACGTAGGGTCCTCCTCAAGTCGCGGGGATACGAGCTCTCGAACGGGGTACTTTACAAGAAATCCTACCTACGTCCATGGTTGAGGTGCGTAACCCCGGAGGAAAGAGACTACATCCTGCGTGAGCTACATGAGGGTATCTGCGGAGATCACGTCGGCCCGAGGGTTTTGGCCAAAAAAGGAATGCTGTCTAGGTATTATTGGCCCACCATTTTCTTGGACTCATCCGAACTGATAGCACGGTACAAATCCTGCCAACTGCATGCTCCGATCCACCATGCCCCGACTCAAGAGATGATCCCTCTTCAGAGCCTTTGGCCCTTCTTTTAATGGGGGATAGACCTGTTGGGTCCGTTCCCTCGAGCTCCTGGGGGCTATGAACACGTAGTGGTGGCTGTGGATTACTTCACCAAATGGGTGGAAGCCGAACCCCTTACCACCATTAGCAGCAGGTCGGTCCAGAAGTTTCTTTGGAGAAACATCGTTTGCCGATTTGGTATACCCCAAGTCCTGGTCTCGGACAACGGACGACAGTTCGCTGACAGCTCTCTACAAGGTTAGTGCTCGGAACTCGGAATCCGGCAGCACTTCACCTCGGTAGGTCATCCTCAAGCCAATAGACAGGTCGAAAACGTTAACAGGACTATCCTGCACGGTTTAAAAACGCATGGAGTCCGCCCGAGTTGGATGGCTGGACGAGCTGCCTACCATACTGTGGGCTTACCGAACCACTCCCCAAACTGCCACCCAAGAGACTCCTTTCGCTCTAACCTACGTAGCAAAGGCTGTGATCCCTGCGGAGATAGGTGTTCCTTCGGATAGGGTTCACAATTTCATAACTCGGGACAATGAGGACGAACTACGTCTTAACTTGGATCTGTTGGAAGGAAGGAGAGAAGAGGCGGCTATACGCATGGCTAAGTACAGAGGACAGATCGCGCGACACTACAATGCTAGGGTGAGGCCTTTATCCTTCAAGCCAGGGGACCTGGTCTTACGGAAGAATAGCGTGAGTCGGCTTCAGGGCACGGACAAGCTGGACCCGAATTGGGAGGGTCCCTATGTGGTGAAAGAGGCAGATCGGGGTGGGTACTGCAAGTTAGCCCACCTCAGCGGGGAAGAGGTCCCGCGAACTTGGCATAATTCCAACTTGAGGATTTTTCGTTAAGAATTCAGCTCCCGCATGACAGTTCGTTCCAAGGTCAAGATTTTTATTAATATCGATGTATTCAGTTAATAAATTACTTTGTCTTAGAGGCAAGCTCGTTGGGGTAGTCGCCAGGTCACACTGATGTATCTTAAAATTATGACAAAAAATTTGCAAATGCGACTAAGTATGGAGCAAAAGAAAGGTTTTTCATTCCATCAAAAGAAACTGTACAAGAAAGAGCAGAGCTCATATAAAGCGAACTGCCTACTGACGGTTTGGGTTTCTATCCTAAGACCCTACCCTAGTTCTCCCCCTCTTCTTCCTCTTGTTCGGATTCAAGAGTGGTCGCTGGCAGCAAGGGATCGGCAACTAGGTCGGCCAACATTCGCCCACGCGAGTAGCCCTCCACCAGGCGGTCAATCTATTCCATAGCTCGGGGGTTGTAGTCGAGAAACTTCTCCAGGTCAAACCCAGGCAGGCCCAGCTCTTGCACTTCCTTTAGTGCTTGGGAATATCCATGTTGCAGCACGGGGGTGTTCAGGATGGCCAGGTCGTTTGTGAAGTCCTCCGACCTAAAGAAGGCCCGCACGCCCTCTTGGCGTCCTTCGGCCCTAGCCGCATCCACCTGAGCAGACAGCTCGGCACTCCTTTGCTGCTCCTCCTTTAGTTGGGAGGTCAGCTCGGAGTTTTTCTTCAACTCCAACTCGAAGTTTGAGTGGACTTGTGCGAGCTGCTTCTTCAGGTCCTCAGTTTCAGCCACAGCTGCTTCATTCTGGCTGAACAATTTCTCGTTGGCTGCCTTCGTTTCACTCATCAAGGGGAGCAGGCTCTCGTAGCGCCTGGCCAGTTTGGACCCAACCACATTCACATGAGCCGTGCCCGTGTAGTAATAGTCAAGGAGGTTGGATGAGTCCATGGCCTTAACCAAGTTGTAGTCCCGTGGAAGGATGGCCCCATGAGTGAGCTCCCGGGCCACCACGAGAAACTGAGTTCGGTCATTTATGGATAACTTCCATTGGAGGCAGAAGTGCATGGGGTGTTGGTGCGTGACCAGTCGAGTCTGGGGGTCGAAGAGCAGGGTAGAGCTCTGACGTTACCATAGATTAGGGGGAGCTCCAGCCCGGGCCTGTTCCTCGGCGATGTTCACGCCGTAGTGGCCGCCCTGAGCAGGCTCGGGCGTCGACCTCTCTTCCTGAGCTGGGGACGAGGTCGTCTCCACCCTAGCTCTCTTGGCGGTGATCTTCTTTTTCTTCTTCTTTCCAGCCTCAACAGCCTTGGAGGACTGGGCCGGAGCTGGCTGAACCGGCGGAGCAACTGCCGAGCTTGCTGGGATGGCCGAAGGGCCTTGAGTGGCGACGTCCGGATTGCTAGTGCCTCCAATGGTTAGAAGTTGTGAAAACCTTTTCACTGCACGAAGGCCCAGAAGGTCAGTAGTTGCATGGTTTTAAAAAAAAAAAAAAGAGAGAAGGAAACGGAAGGGCAAGATGATTACAGGTGGTCAGCTCATCTGGGGAGAGGGGTCTGCTCTCTGGAGAGGGATCCGAGGGGTTAGCTCGGATCAACCCCGTCGCCCAAAGCTGGGCATTGCCGAACTCTTTCACGTCCAGCTTTATGTCCGAGCTGAGTAGGCGGCTGAGCTCGGACACGGGGAGCGGGGACGGAATTGGATCTGAAACTTGAGTCTCTGCTCTCCAGGTAAGGGGAGGAAAGCCTAGGTTCTTCACGTAAAAGAACTGAGGCTTCCAGTCCTTGATAGAGGAAGGTGCCCCCGTGAACAGCTCGCGGGTGGGGGTTTTTGCTCCATTTCTGCGGGCAAAGTAGAACCACCCAGGCACCTTTCCACTGACCTTCATCTGGAAGAAGGCTCGGAACAGGTCAAGAGAAAAGGGGATTTCAAGTACTCGGCAGAGGATGAAAAAGCCTATGATGGAACGAACAGCATTGGGAATGACCTGAGTTATGCGGATACCCCAGAAAGTGAGGATAAAGAAGAAGAAATTGGGGATAGGCAGGCGGAGACCAGCCATCAGCTGATCCCTGTAGATCGCCACGAACCCGGGAGGAGATCGGCTGGCGACCTCTTCTGGACGGGCGGCCCTAGGTTCGAATTGGGCTGGGATTTCATATTTTTCTACCAGCTCGTCAACATCTTTTTGCTCCAGGGCTGGGGAAATAGTGTCGACCTCTCCAAAGTCGCCACTAGGCCCCCCCGAGGTCCCTACTGCCGTCCGATCTGGAGCTGCCTGTTCAGTAGCTTCGATTAGAGGTTGGGCAGGTTGCTCAGCCGGGCCCATTGCTCTAACAGGAGACAGGACGGGAGAGGGTGCGAGCTCTGGCCTAGATGAACTAGAGGGAGAAGAACTAAAGGAGTCTGAAGAGCTGCTATCTACGAGTATGGGGCTAGCTACTCTATGCCTAGGGGCTGAGCTAGTGATGTCAGAACTGTCGGAACTATAAGAAGACATAAAAAGGAAAGGGGAACTTACTGGTGAAAGGAGGAGATCGGATGAAAGACTGATCTAAGGAGTGCGCGAACTGACTCTGGGCTCTTAAAGCAGGGCGACCCGACGTGTTCTCGAGGGAAAAAGGATGAAGCAGCGAACTAGGGATTGGAGGAACGAGTTGATAAAGTGAAGGAGGAGGAGTGAAAATGACGCCTAGGAGGCCTATTTATAGGCGATCCTCAGGGCGGGAAAGCAAAAGGGCGCGCATTTATTTGAACCATTCATTGGGAACCGTCCTTAACCGCCATAACTGGTCGAGGTGACGGTTGAGGTGACAGACACGAACCGACGCGACGGTTGCTTGCACCACTCCCAGACGGGGGCCCCACACCGAACTGACGCGACGCCCTGAAATTCGACCTATATTCACGCGCATGCTCGATGACTCTAGACTAGAGGGGAGCTAGTGTAGTGGGGCCCATGTGCTCATCGGCCCGGTCCGCAAACACATCAGTCCGGCCCACGAGCTCGGACATGAGGGGGTGCTCGGTCTTGCAGGTCAGCTCGGAGGCCCATGCGAGCGCCGCCTTCCCGAGCGGATGGGCCTGGTGGGCTGCGGAATCCTAACTTGTCGGAACTGGATCGTGTAGCCCTAGGAAGAGTTTTTCTCCAGTAAGGACTCCCTGTCCTACCAGGAAACTACTACTTATGGCCCTATAAATACAACGCGTGGGGAAAACACAAGGTACGCCATTCATAGTGCAAAACTCTACTACTTTTACTTCGATTACTTACTGACTTGATCGTCGGAGTTGCTACCGGGGACAAGCCCGGCAGTTCGTTCATCTGCAGGTCGGACACCTCATCAGCTCGCTCCCCAGGCCACAGCCCAGTTCGGATCTCCACTTCGGCAGTTGCATCAGGCACCTTTAGGAAAGAAAGTTTTAGTGGCCAAAAAAGACTGAAGCTTCTCCATCATTGTCGTCATGAGCTACGAAATATCAATAGTGATCAGTATCTTGTTTTATTGTCAGCATCAGATGCCAAACTCTATATATCTTCAAAGCTCAATCAAGCTGGGCACTGAAGATATAATAGTAAGCAGGGAGTATATCTTTTTTTTTTTTAAGAATAAAAATGGGTAGAGTGCGGGCGACATCAGACAACTACTTGTGAAAGTTCATCAAGTAACTCTACATCTGCATCTGCATCTGCATCTGCATCCGCATCTGCATGTGGTTCTTTTCTTCATCAACTCACCCCATTCAAAACCTTTCCATTTTGAATAAACCTTTCCGCCAGAATAGAACTGTCAAGTTGTTGAGTAGGTAATTAACAACCATGGAGCTTGTGTCGGTTTTGTTTCTTTTTAATTTTTGATAGGAGTGCTAGATTTTGCCTTTTGGGAGTTGGGAGGGATCTAAGAAAAGAAACTGGGCACCCGCTTACTGGGCTTTAATTTTCTTTTTCTTTTTTTTTCCACAAGAGTGAAATTACACAGGAGCCCTCAAGGCTTTCTTAGTTTTTTTTTTCCCCTAGAAAATTCCTCCTACAAAGCAATGCCCCCGCTGGCTAGTTAGTTTTCTCGTCTTCCCTCCGCCGACTGGAACCATCCCAACAGCCCAAGCGGAGAGAGAAGAAAAAAGAAACTCTCCAGTCCTGTCCTGAGTCCGGAAAATTAAAAAGAAGAAATACTAGTAGCCACTAGCCGTAGCCGCAGTAGTTAGGTGTAGCAAAATGGATCAGGCGGATCAGGTGGCGAAGGCATTCGTGGACCACTACTATTCAACCTTCGACACCAATCGGAGCGGGTTGGGTAACCTGTATCAAGACCAGTCCATGTTGACATTCGAAGGCGAGAAGTTTCAGGGCTCCTCCAACATCCTTGCCAAATTGACTGGTTTGCCCTTCCAGCAGTGCCAGCACGGCATCACCACCGTCGATTGCCAGCCCTCTGGTCCTGCCGGTGGCATGCTTGTCTTTGTCTCCGGTCTTCTCGTGGTCGACGGCGGGGAGCACCCCCTCAAGTTCAGCCAGGTATCCCCCGCCTTTCTTTTTAAACCCCCCCCCCCTCTTCTCCAACCTCCAATAAATAAATTTCCTGTTATTCCTTTTTGATTGGATTTAAACACTGAGATATCATAACGTTCGGTGTTGATGATTATTTTTAGCATGTTAATTTAACTGAGGATTAAAAATCTGGCAAGAGTAACTTTATACTCCAGTTCATTTCATACACGATATCACGTGTCTTAATCGTTTTAGCATGTAGTATAATGAGAAATGAGCACTTTCTAACTGTGGCGGGTGACTTTCCTTTTGCACCCTGTAAACCTTCCGTCAATGTTCACTTGGAAACCAATTTTTAGTTTGGGAAATCTTGCATCTCTTTTAATTTGTCCAGGTGCAGTCGTTGAGGATTTTCACAATACTAAAGGAATGACACCAACGTTCTCTTTAATAACTTGGCCTGATGGCCCACTTGCGATCCATTTGCACCAAACTGAGAGGTGTCAAAAAAAGAGTTCAGGATGCTAAGCATTTGAAATTTGAGTTTGGAGTCCATGAGGGTGTTGAAGTGGAATTTGCCCGTTTTAACTGTTGAGCTGTCGATATCTGTTTTATTTTGGGCTCTAATTGAAAGATTGTGAGAAGATGGAATTGTTGTCATTCTAGTCTGGCGATTGACCATGTTTAAATAGTTATTCTGCTAATGAAGGTTGATGTTGGCAACTTCATTAATTGTTTGCTCCATATTTTGGTGTCAATTAACTACTTTCCATTCATAGCTGCAGATGCAGCATGCTTGACTAGCATTTCTGCATTGTGCTGAACTCTTTAACTGCAATATTGGTATCCATATTGATACAGACTACCTATTTTGTATTGCTTCTCTGTTGCGTAAAGTGTAACTTCTCTGTGAATAAGGTCCCAGATGATTTCTTCACTTCTTCTGGCTTTTGCTCGAGAAATATTCCTGTCTAATATTGGTATCTTTAATGACACAGACTGCCTATTTTGCGTTGCTTCCCTTTACGCAGAGGGCAATTTCATAAATATGCATACTACCTTCACCACCGACCATTTACTTTGCATATGGATCCAGATTGTTTCACCACTTTTGTCTTTGGCCGGAGAGAATAGTTCCTGTTTAAGGTTGTACATATGTAGTTTACTACAAGTTTTGAACAGCTACTTAATCACGTAGTATTGCAAGGTCTTAACAATGTGCTACCCTCTGTGCGATGCCTAGTTGGTTTGGAAGATTGTTGGCTTTTGCTGGGTTTCAGCTTTATTTCTGTTGCTTAAAATCATCTATTCCTTTTGGTGATACTGTTAAACTCTAAGCGCGACATGGTTCTTCTGGTCAATTCTGTTCAAACAACTTCTCCATTCTGCTTTTGTGCTTTAGCTTGATGACTCTTTAAGGAAATTGATTTAGGATAATTTGTAGTTTTCACTTGTACGCATTTGAAGTGCTCTCAAGTTGATATCCACATAAGCATGTGATTGCTGTGCTTTCTAGTTACACGGAAAGTACAGTTCTGTGTGTTTATTCTGAATGTGGTTGTCTTTTGTGTGCCCGTTTATTCTTCCATTGCTTCTGCATATTTGTTGGTCGCTAATACTTGCCATCTGATTTTGCGGCAGATGTTCCATTTGATGCCCACTCCTCAGGGTAGCTTTTATGTGCTGAATGACATTTTCCGGTTGAATTACGCGTGATGCGGTACATGTCCATTTGTTAAATCACTGGGGTCGAATGCTGCCCAAGTGCCATAAACCAAATTAGTTTCAGCTTTGAATTCTAGCTTTCCAGTGTCCAAACTTGGCATTTTCGGGATGTTCAGTAATTGTTTGTCTTCGTCTGTGCTTTATGGTGACTGGCGGATGGTTGAGTTGTCATTAGACCTATTTTAATGCTGCGTTAATTTTGCCAAGAATTTTCAAATGAATGGGATAGTGATATTTGAACTAATTGGTTGAGAATTGTATCTCTCTCATCAAATCTGCGTCCTGATTCCAACTTGATTGAAGGAAAACATTAAGGTGTGGTGATGTAATCTGAGATCTTTTTAGTACCGTGGTTGACTGGAACAATTGATACTCAGACAGAGTAGTTTGCCTGCTTGCTTGCGTGGACATTTCGCAAGCAAAACACAAATGTTTTGCTCGCAGCTAACAGAATAACAAAATGCTGTTGTTGATCCAATTAAACTAAAGCAGCATGGTAGCTATTCTCCATTGTCTACATCAAATACTGGGAGTTCCACACGGGGAAGCTCTGGAATCTTTAGATCCGGCAGAGATGAGGCCGCAAGAATTGGCTTTGGCATCACAGAGGAGGCTAGTTTATCTACTTCCTGACCCGTAATTCTTCTGTTACCTTTCAGCAGCCCCGTGATCATACCCCCCAAGGATTTAAATGGGTGGCTTAAACCTTCTTTGACCTTCAGAATGAGCGAGACTTGGGAAAGCTGCCAGGCAACAGTGAGAACAATCATGGCTGACAGAAGACAATGAGTGATAAAGTTCTGCCTCTTAACTTCGTTAACCTCCTTAATGATATCTTCTTTCCCAATTTCGGAGCTCGAGTCCCCCTTCCTTGCTTCATTTGCAGTCTCACTCTTCTCGCCAGCTTCAGCTTCAGGGTTGGGTACCTTTCTATTGTCAGCTGATGCTTTGGGTTCCTCGAGCATGCCATCTTCTTGCAAGGCATCTAACTGTTAAAATTACAGGCGCCAAAGCTGATTAATCCTTTGACAAGTAACGCGTTGAGAATTCAGTTAATGTGTTACTAAGACTTCTAGGCATAGGAGCAAAAGATGGATTAGATATCCAAATAAGCAAGTTAATAAGTCCAGAAAGAAAGAAATAGCAATAGCGTACGTCTGTGGACTATCAAAAATATTTCTCAATTAACAAATTGAAAAGGTAAAATCCAATAAAGCTAAGTCGAATATTTCTTACTTTAGAGGTCGCTTTACGGCTTTACCTGTGAAAGTAATTTGGAGAGAAGAAGGCGGCGGTCGTCGTCGTCGTCGTCGGGGGAACCATCTTTGTCGCCAGAGACTGCAACAAAGCTCTCATCCAATGAGGGCCCGTCTGTATTTCTTACTTTCGCTTCTTCAATCAGTTGCTTTATGGCTGTCTGTAATAGCTTCACCTTATCCCTTGATTCCATTTCGTTCGATCACCCTCTTCTGCTGACTTCTTTTTCGTAAAAGAAGAATCGGTCTTATGAGGTGGGGATCTTGCGGAAAACTTGCTCTGATCGAATCAGTAGAAGCGAGGTCAACACTTTCGCCATCAACCGTCCAGCTTATCCGCATAGATATCCTCTTCTGGGAGAATTACACCACCGACGTCCCACAAAGCTTCTTCGACATCCCAAATATTGGAGAATATTTGTTGTGCTTCCTTCCTTCCTTTTATAGGCCTCTTTATTTATTTATTTACTCCTCTCAAGCTCTCCTTCCAGAGCAATATTCTAGTGAAATTTCGTCCGATACATGTTCGCTAGTTATAGAAGAAATTTGAAGTTTAAATCTAAATTGAGCCTAATTATTATGTGTTTAGATCCACTAATATTGCCAGTATAAAAAAGATTAATAAGTAGAATACTAGTCATGTAGATGAGGTTTTCTCACAGTGATGTATTTTACTAAAACAGCACGGCATAAAATTTGACCTATTCCAGCATCGTCCAGAGAGCAATGAACAACTTTTGAGATAACCCCGTACTCCTCGTGAAATTGTTATATGTTATCAAGTCGGTGTTGTTAATCAAGAGTTCCGGTAGCCATCCCACTCTGGTTAATTGGTACATATTCTTCCTCTCTTTTCATCTTCTTGGAATTCTGCCGTGCGCACAAGAGATCAATTTTGCAGCTAGCCTCCTAAAAGTAATGACGAGAAATTGTTTGCCGACATTGAAAAGAGCAAAGGACTTCACCCTAAGTAGCAGTGCCTTCTTCCAGCCAACGCGAAAAAGCCTTGCACTAAATACATTATGCTAAAACAACGCGAGGACGTCTTCACTTTTACAGGAGCAAACATCGTGTAATCATACACACATGGTCATGTACCATAAAAAGGTAAATTTATCGCAAATTTCTCTTAAACGTAACAGCCCTACCATTGACATTTACATCAAACTGCACAGCGCATTTACAAAATGCCAATCTCAGCAATATAACCAATCAAACTAGCTAACCCTAAACAATAACCAAATTAAGCTACCTGAACTTCAATTTACATCTATCCCCACATACAGAGTCTAGAATAAAAGCCAAGTTATCCATCGCATCTACACAAATTGGTAAATGTCATCATTTTCCATGCTAGATACGTCATATGAAGTCGAGGATATTTCCCTCTCGGCACCATCAAGCTCAGCCTGCAAAATTGAAGTGTTTAACAGGCGTAAATGAACATCTTTCCCTACTTGCGCTAATTGAATATAAAGGCTAAAATTCATATAGGAAGGTAGCAGATTCAACATATGCTTGGATATACAAATTTTGGAGAAAATCATGCACTATTTTCTTCACTAGGTTTGCCGTCCCTATAGATTACAATAAGATATGATTTGTCATACCCCAAAAAACTTTCCATGTTTTGCACTGTGCAAAGTAAATAGTGTCTACCAACCTAAGTGCCATACCAAGATTACCTTAGCTTGACGATATTTCTCCAGAATGCGGCGATACTGCTGGCGCGCTCCTGGAGACTCAACCATTGACAATACCCTTGACACAGCTTCATCAATAGTTGCATCAACCTTCTGCTTACGGAAGACCCTTAGAATGTCTTCATCCTCACTTTCATCGATAGCATCTGTCTCAAGGCGGAACCCACGCAAACCAACTCCACGTCTACGCCACCTAAGAACTACCTTCTCCAGAATACCCACGGCCCAGCATACCCTATAATTCTTTCTGACCTGATAGCCTCGCACATGAGCCTGCCACGACAGTTCTCAGAATTAGACAAAGTATTTCCAATCTTTTTCAACATCAGCTTGAAAAATTTCTAACAGGTGTGGTGGTCTTGTGCTAGTCACATGCAATTCATACACCAAGAAGAAAAAACCAAATAATGATTAAGAAAGTCTCCTGGTATCAAAACTTCTGATTTATTTGAGCAATGATGTCCATGTACATTCATCATTCATATGACAGAGAAGCACTTGACGCTATCATGAATCATGCTTCAAGCAGCCTCAAAATTTCAGATACCAGTCTTCAGAAACTTGAAGATGAATATTATACATTTGATTCTCAACAAAGTTATCAAATGTATTTCAAGATTAATAGGAAATTTAAGGGCATGTTAAAGGACAGTCATGATCTTCCTCACTGAATATTTTATTATGTTACTCAGGTGTAGGTAACAAAATATTAGATATCCCAAAAAACTTTGCCCATAAGAGAAAGCATGGCACCTGTATTTTCACTACTTTCTGACGAAATGCAAGAAAATCCTTGCGACCTTTCCAACCACGATATTTCTTCTGTATCGATAAAGCAGCTGAGTTGTAATCCCTCGAATTGCGGAAGGCAAACTTTGAAGCAGCCGAAAGCTCTGGTATGTCAGATAAAAGGATTCCATACTCGTCTCTAGATGTGCTTGAAGCAGCAGAAATATCAAATTCTTTCTGCTGCCTCCTCCTGAAAGAATGTGCACGGAATGCAGACTGTATGCGTGCAGCAGCCTGTGCAGCATTCCGCGCAGCAGCTAAGCTATCCTTCAGAGAAAGCTGGTCCTCGTTTGTAGTGGGACTTGTCTTGGGAATGTTAATCAAAGTTCTTTCTGCTTCTACATCAGCAGATCCTTTTGATAGCTCACTCTCTTCCAGGGTAAGGGAAAAGAGATGACTAGTTAGTGCCACTTCTGAAAGATAACCAGCAAGACCCTTGTGGCCCCAAGTGGCAGCAACAGATGCAGCAGTTTTCCCAGTTGGGTCCTTAGAATTGGGATCAGTAACCGCTCCAGCAGATGCACCAGCTGCTATCAGTGCAGCAACCATTTTTTCCCTGTAACAAGGATTTTAGTAAACAGAGTTCCCATGTAGAAATATGCATGAGGTATATCAAAAACAAATAAATGCACTGCAGTAAATCTTCAAGGTAATGTGCAGCAAACATGATTGCAAGAAGGGCTGCTACAACCACAAACAAATCAAGAGTAAACTTTCAGACGAAATGCAATGAAGTACAGGGGAAAAAAACCTGTGCAGCCTATCAACTTTGCACTCCATGAGAAACACTGCTGCTGATTTAAAAAAAAAAAAAGGAGAAGAAGAAGAAGTTTTCTTAAAGCTATTGCAGTGAACTCATGTATGATAATTTGAGTGAGAAACTAACTCATAAACCATCCAGTAAAGAAACATGAGTTAATCCAGAGCTTTTATAAGTGTCATATTCTCCCCATTTATGTTAACTTTGTTCCAATAGATATATGTCTTGTCAACACATTCAGTGACTTAAACCTGCCAGCCCCCCCCCCCAACAAAAAACCCGGAAATCATGCACCAAAACTGAAGTAACTAAATCTTCAACTTCTATCTTTCCCTCACAATGAACCCAACAGATCCTGTGGCCAACAGAGAACAGGGTGAAGGCCAAAAGTCAAATAATTTGGTGTATTGCCAATAACACACTATGGAATCTTTAAATGATAAAGCTGTGGCCTTTCAAATAAACACTTCCTCCACATTTATGATACAGCACCCCATACATTAACAGAATGTAATTTCTTTTTAAACTTCAGCCATCTGAATAACAACCAGTTTCATATTTTGTGGCGTATTTCTCCTCAGCTACAACCAATGGTAATTGCTCCATCAAGGTTGAAAAGTATGGCCAGCACTATCGGAAGCAAACAACGAAAAGATTTATGGAATCACATAAAAGACATCACAGGTGAATGTGAGCAATTTGGATTATGCAATGTAATCAAGCAGAAAAGGCATCACAGGTGAATGTGTCCTTCTGTCTTGCCAGTTTGAGCAATTTGGATTATGTAATCAGGCAGAATTCATGCATTTCTACCAATCACCTACTCAAACTCCATATAAGTCATGCTAATTTACACAATAAAAAGTTCTGAATGTCAGTAACGAATAGGTAAAGGGAAGGGGTTACCCACCTTCCAAAACGCGCAGCCCAATGAAGGGCAGTCCAACCATTTATGTCACGAAAGTTAACATTGACTCCAGACTTGAGAAATGGGTGCAGGGCCCACTCAAATCCTAAACCAGAAATTATGTGTATTACCCCTTGTTCTTTCTTTGATAAGGAACAGCATGGCATGTTATCATCTTGTGATTTTGAAGAAAGCCAATTTTGCAACTTGTCTTTCACAAGTTCTTCTAGGAGCCAGTCTGTTGTGATAGATAGTGTAGAAGTGCCCGCCAAAAGAGCTTCTATGACTTGACCCCATGAGTCCTCATCTGCTCTGGATTTGCCCAATAAATCAACTCCTGATTCAGAAGTATCTCCTTTTTGCATTGAAGGATTGGATAGAAGCAACTGTACAAATCTGACAAGTAACAACATTTCTTCAGGACTTCTACTAGCTTCTCTCTGTGGCTGACTGCAATGACTACAAACGGTTGGTTTAACACGATATTCGAATTCCCTGACTTCGCTGCAGGACTCTCTATTACCGGAAGTGACACAAATTGTGACTTTTCCAGGCGAGTGATGAGGAGCATGGCAACAAATGACCCCTTCCTGAATGATCTGAACTGGAACTTCAATGTCACCAAACATGCAAGTCCATGCAGCATCCAATGGATCACAGAGAAATGATCCAATTATGAAAACCTGCAATACGATTCTTGATATTTGAATTTACAATGCCAAGCGGAGAAATAGAAGCAGAACATAATCAACCAGGCTGACCAGAACGCAGGGTACTCATCATAAGCATAAGATGAGAAATAACCATTTACATCAAATTCAACATGAATAATTGCATACTCAAAAGATCTTGTCGATCTCCCAGGTTGTATTCTGAGATTGATCCAACCGTAGAAGTTTTATGATAGGCCCAGTTAAAAGCATCATGTAGAAAATCTATTCTGAACGCCTCTCTCTAATTGTAACAAAATTGACCCAGATTAGAACTCACCTCAACCAAATCTCTCACACTCTTGATTGGCCGAGAAAGTTCTGTTTCTTCCCTCACCCTTGTCAGGCCAGCTTATTACCTAATCCCTGTTGTTCGAAGCTTTCCTTCTTCAAGAGCTCTCTCACACAGTTTGTACATAAGTTTCATTTCAAAATTTGAACTATTGTTCTTCAACTTTTCAATTTTCAATATTTTCCATCCCTTTTGCACCTCCTGACATAAGAAACACCCTTTTGCCCTAGTTGAATGTCAGTATTTGCCTTTCACACATTAAATAATCTATTTCAGGCATCATTTCTTGTGTATATATGTTTATTTTGGGGGTTACAATGATGACAAAATTCATGAAAAATCTACCATGTAATAAAACTATTATTTGAGGGGAAAAAAGGTCAATGAGAAAAATAATTGCTAAGGAAAATCTAACAGTTTGACCAGAACAGTCAAATAGGGACTTGGTCATTGATGGAATAGTTAAAAAAACAGCTATTGACAGAGTAAAAACAATAAGAACTTGTGCAGCAAAGCTCTCTACAAATATTGGCCGAAGTAGGTAAAAACCTTTTGGATGACAAAAAGTCATACTAAGCCATCATAGAGGAAGACGGTCATCATGCAGACTAGGTACAAAATATTAGCAACAAGCAAGATAACAGCACTTATAATTGCAGATTTGCTTGCTAAGAAAACTTTTGTTTCTGCAGAAATTATCCATGTTATACAACAAATGGAAGTAGATCTTGTGCTCATACCTAACCACTTGTTTTACCTTTAGGATCCCTTTATGTACCATTTCAGTTTACATTATTCTAATCATGCCATGCAAGACACCATAGTGATGATTACAGCTTACCAATCAATTTAGAACATGAAGCAAAGTACTTCCAACAAGAACTCTACCATATATGACCAGAAGCAGGACCATTAAATTAAGCAACCAATCACCAAAAGATTCTACAAAAATAACGCTCACTAGGGAGACAAATGCAATGATATGAAACCAATGAATCCCATGCCTCCTATTCAACGCTTAGTTAGTTCCAACTAACATAATGGCGGACCTCTTACACGCACACTGGAATCATTGTTCAGTAATATTCATAGGAAGAATCGAAGAATGTCCATGTTTAAAAGTAAATGCAAAATTGAGTTCCCTGACGAGTACCTTTGTTGTTTCCGAGGCATAAGCCCATTCTGGAGATATCTCTTGAATAGTAAATTTCTGCTTTTGGGCTATAGTTAAACCCAAATCCTCTTCAAGGGAGATTCCAATCTGATTGTGGTCAAATAGTGTTGTATAATTGTCCGGGTTGGTCATGTAGGTCTTTACTGCAGCTGAATAAGCAGGATATGCCAGATTTTGGACTTCCTTGGCAACTGGTAAAGAAACTGGCAGGACAATAAGGTAATTGGAATTTCAGCATCCCAAATTTACAAAATAGAAGGTTTCAAATATAAGCTACTATTAAAGTTGAGACTACCATCTTGAGCATTTGTTCCTCCATAATCTAACCAAGTATAACCATCTTGCTCAGCCACCAGCTCTTTAGTCCATTCATCAAGAAGCACACCCTGTTGTGCATATGGTTAATTACCTTGAAAGATTGAGACTAGAACAGCTTAACAAAGATATTATATTTAAGCAAAAAATGCACAAAGCAGGACGTGGGTCTTAACATGTGGTGTGGTAGTTATATGCACCTTAAACTGACTTCAAACATAAGGTAAGCAGCGATTCACATCAGAAAATTAGCATGGCATAGAAATGATCAAATATAAGAACAAACAGATACGATTGGTACCACACAGGCAGAAGATGAATGCTCATAGTGATTATTCATTCTCACATTTCTGTCAAATTTGTCTACATGTCTCACTTGTGCCAAAACATCTTCTGAACTATTGCAGCCATCTAGCATCTCTGTCCAGCCCTCATGTCCCAACGATTGCTGTTGGTGTTCAATCTCATAACCTACAAAGGAAAGACTTATTAGCATTTGTGCTTATCCACGTCTGGCTTCTATAGCAACAGATTCCCTCATGTAAAAGAAAAAGATCAATAGAACATAAAACCATTCATAAAGGGAATTTATAAGCTATAGCAACATAGCTAGAAGCCCTGAATGTTCAAAAGAGGTGTTTTTAGCTCGACAAGCTCCATATAGAACAGGAAGCATCAGCACAATTCTGTTCACATACAACCATCAGATAAGAAGAGATCACTCTCCAACTTAAAGCATCATGGACTAAAAGATATATAAAATACATCGTTCAGCAACTTTACGGCAAGAAGATCAAATGTTTAATGGGAAAACATGAAACAAAAGTCATCTTCCCATATCAAAGCAATTTCAAAGTTATCAGACTGCAAAAGGAAAAAAGTTACAAGAGTTTCAAAAGCAAAATTCAACAATAAAAAACATCCAATTACATTCATCATAATTACTATAAATTCTACATAAGAATGAACGAAAGTGCTGTATTGTGATTGCATAGTGAAGCAACAAACCAATAACAAAAGCCTGGAAAAAGGTTCAAGAGAAGAATGCTTCAATCACCTTGTCCTGGAACAGATGGAGTTTGACCCTGTGTGGACTTTTCTGAATCGTGTGAGTTCTCATTCTGTGTGTAACAACTACCAATTTCTTCCAGCCTGTCATCATTTAAACTTAACTGCTCCTCAAGCCTTCTCAATGCTTGACTGATGTCATGGCTCGATGAACTAGTAACCTCCTCTGTTCTCTCTATATCCTGTGAGTAATTCATTCCATTACTCTTGATGACAACACTAGAGCTAAATTCAACAGATCCAGGACTAGATAAATTGTGAATTTGCTCATAAGATTCTCCGAGGAGAGGAGAAGAGCCTAGCTGCTGAGTGTTGCCTGAGATCGGGCTCTGACTGAAGGTAGAGGAGGATATTGGAGAAAATTGTGATATGGTTCCTGCATTGTTCCTTGCCTGCAGCTTAAAAAGTCACACAAGACACAAGGTTGATTAAAGTTCAGTCAGTTATCAACTCCAACAGTACTTTTCAACTACCAAGTAAACAGAGTCATGTAGAAAACACATCTACTCTTTGCACGTAAACGATCATTAATGACGACTAGGTGCAGCAACATGTTAGTCCATAAACACTTAAAAGCTGAGGCAAACTTAACAAGTGTCCACTGATAATGCCAAGCTCAAATCTGATACAATCACTAAAAGTAAGCTTCGGGAAGATTTTCTAAAAGCACAAATGTCAACAGGAAATGCCATGCCTTGTGCATCAAATTTGAAGTACCCCTAGCAACAAGGCCCTGAATGGTTAGGCAAGTCATCCAGCAATAGGGTTACCGTCGAATATGAAGCACAAGCATGGAGTGGGAGAGCATAATCACCAAAGAAATAAAAAATGAGATGCGTCCTTTTAGCAAAAGGTTGAAATAACAACATGAGATTATTACAATAATCTGATTGAAGAACTCTCACCTCACTTATATCTCTGTAGTGAACGAGAACAATGTGTTCATAGGCCCTGCCCAAACATTAAAAAGAAGACTTGCAATGACAATCAGAAAAAATGAGAAAATTGAAAAAAAAGAATCAGCTCTAATCTGACGGAAGGAGATCCACTGCATAACTTCATAATCTCAATTAATCATCTAACCTCAGCAGTATATCATTACATAGGATACCATCTAACATGCCAACATCTCTTGACTTCTAAGGAGACCAGGAAAAATTCATGATAACAAGAATTAACTTACGGGTTCAACATCCAATAGCTACGCCTCTGAAAATTAGGGTTCTGCTCCCCGTGTGCGTAATAGCAATTTAAAGCTTCCACATTTCCAACCTAGCCATTTAAAAAGATGTAAGCTGAAAGCATGGAACTTTGCAGTCTTTTATGAATAAGATATCAGCATATTGTATCTAGAACTTCATGACAAGGTGGAGACAGTATCACAGCAGGATAAGGCAAAATCTTGGAATGCTAGTGCCCTTATCAAAGAAACGTGTTATTCAGACAAATGCAGGATAACAACTGCTTATGTAAAGGACTTGCTCCCCAGGACGACCACTTTAAACCGTTGTTGATGTTTCAAAAAGTTTTGGGTTGATAGGAGCAGCAACTTACGAAATGTAATGAAAACTCTCGAGCCATCATGCTAATTTTCCACCCGAAACTAGTTTCTTTCACCAGAACAAATATGGTCCAAGCAAAAGAATATGTACTGCTAAAAGAAGAAACCTACTGCTAGATTGATATATTTAATGAGCCTTCATTTTTATTCCCAATGTAAACGAATTGGGAGAAGGGAGCAATCTTTCATCTTCAACTGCAGTAAGTTAAATGAGTTTGCTTCAGAACACAATATGTACTGCTCCAACAGCCCTAAATTGGAAGTTCCATTTAATTTTTTTTTCTTTAAAACCACCATTTTCTTGAACATTATCTATGTTATCTTATTTACTTAGTTGCCAACTAGTCTTTTTATGTAACTTAAAAGAACAAGAAAGACAAACCTCACAGAAAAGGGTCAACTCAGACACTTAAAAAGTATGTAGAAAATAGAAATGGATCGAGATATTTATAACAGGAAAATTGTTAATATTCAACCTTAAGCCGTTCATGTGCTTCACCAACAGTTCTCCCATCTCTCTTCCTCCGCCAACTATGCCCATCCTTACGGAAAAACCTAAGGACCCTCTTGTTGAAAAGGAACAGTGATCCACCTGTTGAGGCAATGATTATGTTAGACCAAAGAAGCATCCATATAAGGTGTCAGGCCCAAGGAAGGGCAAGGTTTTAAGAATTGCACTCAAGAGGTAAAACATAAGATGATTACTTCCTGGTTTTTGAGGAGGCTGATTAGTGATCATTTGGTTCTCATGATTTTGTAGTATGAAGAGTACTTCAGCAGGCTTCAACCAGCGAGATTGAGCTTCTCTAACCAGATCATTTAAATTGTACCCTGAAGTCCAACAAAGTAGCAAACACATATAAAAACAGGCCCTGACAAAAGGTGTGTCTGACATTAAGGCGTGAGCACAAGAAAAGCAAAAAAGTGCATTCACAGAAGAAATCTAAACTGTAAAGCGAACTACAAAAGGTGCTGAATATGCCACCACTCATTTCTCAAATATACGACAATTTAACGTGCACAAGTAAGCAAAACACATGCAAACCTCGAACCCAACCAGAACATTGATGGCTTAATATTCATTTTATCAAAACAATCTCAGCATATCCTCCAATCTCAAATGAGGAGTTAATGACGACTGTGCAATGCAGATATTTTGTATCAGACAAGACACGTTAGCCATGATGACCGTGTAATTCGGTCCAAGGCATAGGCAAAGCTTTACAATTTAACAATACCAACTTCAGCCAGAATATTTCCGTTATCAATTTCGTCTATTCATTTGATTTTGTTTAAGAAAATATATTTGACGCCTGAGCTAACTACATAATTAATTCATAGCAAAATAGAATGCTCAATATTTTTTAAAAAATAAATTAATTAAGAAAAATTACTTCAAGAATAAAACCGAATAAAATCGAACAAAAAATGTTAAGGTTGAGAGGAAAATAGAAACCGGAAAAATGGAGCTGAAGATATAAAGTGTACCAACTACACAATTGCAACTTAACCTACATAGATGAAGAGGAATCCTGCTGCTGCATATACAAACAAGCAAGTAAATGATGGAGCAAAAGGCGAAATCTAGAACTACAAAATTCGGATTTAAAAAAAAAAAAAAGGAGAAGAAGAAGAAGAGTCTAACCTGATTGTGACATATTTGAAGTCACTGCGTCCAGAAGATAAAGAATTCTACCAAAAAAATGAGAAAGCCGTAGGAATTGCAGAGAAGGCAGTTCATTAGCAAATATTCAGACCTCGTCTTGAATTTCAGCCAACGACCACCGCCAAAGTCACTGGTCAACTGCTCCCAAGTGACTCGCCAAAGTAGAATCGCCGCGGAAGAGCGAAAGCACGACCCAAATTATGAAGGATAACCCAGATTGTTTTTAATTAAAAACTCCTTTAACCCACCCTCGGGGGATCAACGCCTCAACGGGAAGGCCAAAAATGGCAGAGAGAGATTTTATTGGATTAGCTACGAAGCTTGGGGAAGTTGAGCTACTTGGCCAGTGACCGACAACCGGGCGAGCGAGAGGCTTCCTTCCACTTATTAGAGACTCCAGTAGTCCAGTCCAGCGAGTGCTGGAGTGCGAAAGGCGCAGGATTGACAGAGAATAAGAGAACAAAATGAAAATATATAAGAGTACTGCAATTTAATGCGAAAAAAAAATCAAAAAAATTAATTAGAAAAAATATATATTTGCAGACTACTAGTACGTACTATTTATTTATTTATTTAGGAGCTGTATTTTTATTTTTTTTTTTGCGGAATATGATAAACTTACACTTAGGGTCTATTTGGTTGGAAGTAAAATATTTTCTTTGGGAAAATATTTTCCGTGAAAGTAATTTTTCATGAAAATCATTTCCCTTTCATCATTTTCAGGTGTTTGGTTAGCTTATTGAAAATATTTTCTTACTTCATTTTTCTGGTGTTTGTTTAACTTTTGAAATATTTTCACTTTTATCTCTATCTTTACTTTCTACACATTATAACTACATACTTCTTCCCATGCAAAATAAGAAAATTTATCTCATTATTTAACTTTAAAAAATCTTGGAGAAATGTATATATGAATAAAAAATATCTCCTTAAGCAATAAACAAATTGCTGGCCATTTAGTGTCAAATATCAATCACATGCAATGCTTATTGTGACATATATCTTGCACTCTCACTGCTGAAAGTTTCTCTAGAAAATAATGCCCTTATTATACATAATTAATTACTAACATAGGATGAGTAGGATGAGATTTTTTTTTTTTGTTGAATATACTAGGGGGAGGGTTGGGTTGGGTTGGGTGGTACGGGAGAGGGAGTGTAAGGAAGAAGTCTTGGGTTCGAATCCTCCTGTTTACACTAAAAAAAAAAAAGAACATACTACAAGATATTTTCAGTAAATTTGAAATATACTACAGGCGGGATACATGCATTTCGGAAAACAACTTCAGTAAGTTTGGAAGGGAAGTTGTTTTCCATAAGATGAGTGAAAATATTTTACATAGGAAAATGTTTTCAGTAACTTTTGTACAACCAAACACGGGAAATTAGGAAAATATTTTCGTGGAAAACATTTTCCTCTGAAACAAACGGACCCTTATTCTATCTTATTCTGTTTTGTAGGAGAACCTAAAAAAATTCAAGAAAAAATCGAAAAGAACTAAATCACCTATCAACCTAAACAAATGTCCTACGCACCACCCCTCTAAAAAAGGTTTAAAGTAACCTGGACCTAAAGAAACCCAAAAGGAAATCGAGAGAGAACTGAATCACTTATCGACTAAAACAAGTGTCCTACGCAACCATCTGAAAGACACTTAAAGTGACTTACCACATTTTAGTGACGAATGATGATAGGTAAAATTTGAACCTTAAGTGTCCATTCTATCAAGCCTTAAATGCTTTAGTGGTGGCCATTGAACTAATGGTTGGCTGTCGTTTGGTTTAGCCATCTAATGACTTTTAGAGAGAGAGGAAACTGTTGTCAAAACTCAAAAAAGGGAGAAAAAAATATAGGACTCGGTTTCAAGTCCGCCAAAAGGGTTGTTGAAGTTAGCGTAGGAGTGGTACGGTCAAAAGCTTACCCCCGTCGAATTCTCTTTGGTGACTTATGTTATGTGATGTTTTTTTCCGCGTCCAGGCCACGGCCACGAGATTAGATTTGAATATAAGATCTTATTTATTGAAAATAATTAGTAGTAGTATAAGTACTTATACTACTATTTTTATCTCATCAGTGAATTGAGAACACAAAACTTTTTTTTTTTTTTTTAAGTAGCCACTGGAGGGCAGATTATTTCTTTCTGTCCAGAGAATAACAAGTTTCCCCTTTGGCATTGGTGTAATTTACCTACTAGCCAATATAATATAATACAAAGGTATGTAATCAAGCACGTGATTGTCAGGGGCAGCTACTGGTTTTGAGTTCTCCTGCGCTGTATTGTAGTCCTAGAGATAAGAATCAAAGCTCACGTGCTTCAAATTCAGTCTGTTTTTCAAACTCTTCACTTCAATCGCATAACATGGTGTGAACACCACGACTAAGCCCAACCAAGAATGGTCAAATACCAAAAAAAAAAATTTTTTTTTTTTTTAAGAACACGGAGGCTTTTGAACTCCACTGACTCATCAATTATTTTCGGCACGAGGAAATCGATGAATGCTTCTGGTGGAGCGGTAAGGAACAGGACAGCGCAGCACAAGTACAGCGCCACTACAATTCATTTCCTCCTTCCTTCCCCTTAAAAATAAGGGATAATTCTAGAAACCTCCCTGAGATTTTTGACACTTTCATCGACCTCCATTGAGATTTTAAAAGTTACAGTAACCTCCTTTATCAGAAATTTGGATGCATTACTTATACAAGATACAGTGAAAGTACTACTTTGCCTTAAGACATTATGCATTATTAAAAAAAAAGATCGGGGCACTAAATAAATAAGATTAACTAATTAAACCAAAACAATGATTATTTCATTTCAAATTAGCAACCATAATTACAATAAAAAATGGTATCAATTGCTTTCCTAAGATGACGCTTTTTTGTGATTGATATCACTTGAGAACAGTTAGGATAGACAATCTTATATAATCTGCACATATAGATCTTATGAACAAAGAGAAATAGAAGAATTTTCTGATTGACTTATTTTGTTGAACCTTATGCTCAGCCAAAACTATTTGTGCCTTTTGTTGTTGATTTGTTGACCATGACTTGTATGCTTTTTACACCAATACTTTTACTTTTATCTCGTCCACTAAAATAAAAAGATTAATTTTTTATCCAAATTTAGATGCTTATATGAACAATTTAACAGCATTATAGAGTTAGTTGTGTTTTTAATATGTAGCTGCAAATGACAACAAATTTTGGCCATTACAATTTGCAGCCGGATTGGGCCCATTGAAGCCGGATACAGCCCAGACTATTCGGCCCATTGACGCCGGATACAACCCAGTGAATCCAGATCAAGCGATTTCACGTATAGGGGCCACTCAATGTCCATCTGTGTCCCATGTCCTTGTTGTGTTCGAGTGCTGATCAGGGCTTAATGTCCTTGTTGTAGCCCACTAAGTAAGGTAATTTTTTATACTGCTGTGCTGAATTGGCCGATGGTACGAGACCAAAACTCAAAAAGTGGGAGCCTTACATCAAACTAGTTTTTTTCAGCCTCACGCGATGCGTGAGGTTGCCCTGAGTCTGTGTTAAACAAGATCAAATGAAGGCAAGTGAATTAATATAAAATGGTTATATATTAAATACATGATGGGTGCTAGTAACTATGGGGAATTTGACTTTAGGTAAATTGGTTATTGTCGTTATTAGTTTACTCAATTTATTTATGATGCAGAAGAGATTTTTGTACCTACTGGACTTGGACTACTAATTGACTTAACGTGAGATATCGATATGATATATTAGTATTTCATAACTGCAATAAATTATCAACGATCTAACAGTCAATGCAAAAAGATTTTTTTTGCTAGAACAATAAAGATAAACTAACTGTAATAGGTTGTTACATGGTCCAATTTGGGCAAGCCAGTAAATTCCATAATAATCTTACTCTGAAATTAATGGCCTTAGAGAGTAGCCAATAATTTTAATTCAACAAGACAAGACATCAAGACATAATTGCATAAGAGCAAACTTGATCCTACATGCGAGTATTATGAATTTGTGCATACAAGTGATGCTGGCACCGGAGATATGCTTACCTTTAATTTAGAGCAGATAAAAAATGAATGATCAACAATTACCTAATCAACCAAGAAAAAGATCATTAATTGGATGGGATCTCTTGTCGTTTTACTTTCAATCTCTACTTTCACCATGCCATAGAAGTGATTAACTTGTGCTAGGTTAAACAAGTACAGCTAACAGATATAATTTTGAAAAATACAGGATAACATCACTTGGTCTAACTAAATATACCCAACAAAGACGATACACATTCATATTAAATGAAAGAAATTTGAAGGACAGATAGGCCTTTTATTGAGGCCAAAATCGTACTTAAAATGCGTAATCAATGCATTAGACAAATCCCTGTATATACATCACATGCACTCAATTGTTCTGCAAATTCTTTCAAGTGGGAACAAAACATAAAAACTGATCACCAGAAAAACCATAATCATGCAACAAGATGGCCATAGCAAGTCTAACAATGGCTCCCATTTCACAACAGTTGAAACCTATAAAATATCTCTAAAATTTTTAACACCCTTTGGTGAACCATTGCAATGATTTGAACAAACATTCTGACTCATTAGACCTCACATTATAAGGAAAAACCAAAAGACAGAAATAAAGCAAAGAGTTCAACTAGCAAAATTATGGAACCCGAAGCTTTTAATTGGAAGAAGAAATTGCTTTCGAGATGGCTTGCTCACAAGATCCCGTAGGTGAGAGTGCGAAGACTTCACCTTGTAAAGCCGCCAAATCCAGGTCTTCAATTGGAGAAAGAAACACATCCAATATGTTGCTTTTCAGATGACTTTCTCTCAATATTACATAGGCAAGAGAGCTTTGTGCGACTCCCACAAACCGCTTCGGACACCACCCACCGCCCACTCACCAGGGGAGCTGAAGCAACTACAACTATATGATGAAGATACAAATACACGTCTGAACTCTGAAGCACAAACACAAAAGCCACCAAAATTGACCAAGCACACAACTGAAGCATGAATGCAAAAGCCACTGAAGTTGCCCATAATTTAGGCAGTAGATCTATTTTACAAATGAGATAACAAACTCGTGTTTAAAATCTGAAAATATGTATTCATAAAATCATTTTTTCATGCTCGAAAGAAAAATTGGGACAACTGTAAAAGTTTAAAAACTATAATCCATTTCTTAAATTGCATTTTTTTTATGAAGAAAGTTTTATCCTTTTGCAAAAAAAAAAAAAAAAATGTTTACACGGCCACGGGATTCTTTCATATTTTTTAAAATTTTTTTTTCCAAAACAGGAGGGCCCTCTTGACTTAAAAATCAACCGAGTAGCAGCTTGCAACTGAGTGCAAGGTTCCCTTGTACTAAAAATAGAAACACCTGGTAGAGAAGGTCACGGAAAGAATGAAGGAAACAAGGCCATGCGGACAGCAGCGAATTTCCAGCAAAGCCACTACTACCAGATGGCAAAAAACCAAAACGTCCCTCAAAGTCACAACAATCACGAGATAACCGGTCCATTTTCACTGTAGCAATTCCAACTCTCGCTTTTAGCATAGTAAAGATGTACAGCTACTACTGCTAAATTTTTTCTCATATTTGTTCCCATATTGTTGATAAAAAAAAACTTATTAAAATTTAGCATTAAAAAAAAAAAAACCAATGGATGAGGCTAAATCAACATTTTTACTTCCTAAATCCTAACATTGCACAAATTTAAATAGTAACGGTACGAATTAGCAATGCGCCATCAATTCATCAAAGGCATGGGTGGAGTTAACACAACACGTTACACGTAGGGTGTGTAATTATCACTTTGCAAAAGCCAATCTTTCCATCCACTCATCATACTAACCCCCGGTTTAACTGCAAGTTGTGAATACTCTACACGGCCACATAAAATAGATTTCTTTCAGGCGTGGAGTTGGATGTTTTTCCCATTTCCATTTTAAAGAAGTGGAATTTAAATCAGTTGAGTTGACGCAATTCTTACAGCTTTTTTTTTTTTTAATGTAAATTTGTAGTATAATAGTAGGTGTAAATTAAAATGTGTCAATTCATACATTGACCACTACATCAAAGCTGCACCAGCTCTCCCTTTTTTTATAATCGACGTTTAAGATTTTGCACATCAATTAAAAAAATTTTTTTATTACTTAAATCTGTACACTATTTTCCTTTTGTACCCTTATTAATTGTCTAATTCACTCATATTTTCTCTCACTAGAGTACTAAATGGTGTTGTTTTACTAGGCCAAAAACAATACAAATTAAATGGAGTAGTAATTAAGAACCCTGTATTGGAAAAGAGAAATAAAATGATAAAATTGTGAAAAAATAATTAATACTGTATGGGGATAATAAAACGATAGATAAAAGTATACTAGAGCAAATTTCTTAAACGTCAGTTATAAAAAAAGGGAGGGAGTAACAATAATAAAATTAAATCAAATTAACTATGGAATTGAAGTGGGCGCCCCACCGCCACGTGCATGAAAGAAGTGTAAGCGATGGAAAATGGGACGGCTGGAGAGCATCCAACTAACTTGAGCCACTCCCTTTACTTTAGTTTCCTCTCCCATCCAGCCTTATTGCAGCTTTGCTTTGTTTGTTTGCTCTATTTTTTTTTTTTTTTTTTTCCCCCGTTCCATCCAAACTCCAAAGTGCGCCGTCCTCCCTCCCCTTCTGAGCTCTTTAACACTGCCTAAATTGCGGCACCACTGACTGCAACTCATCATCTGATCTAATATAACTATTTCACTTCTCCATTTTCAGCGGCCACTCGATCCTTCCTTCACGAACTCGCAAGTTTCCTAGTACGTCCATCTCCCTCCTGCCTGGCAAAGTGAGCAAGAGATGTCAGACTGGGGTCCAATATTCGTGGCAGTGGTACTGTTCGTTCTGTTATCACCGGGGCTGCTATTTCAAATTCCCGGCCACCACAGGTGCGTGGAATTCGGCAATCTGCAGACCAGTGGCGCTGCCATAATGGTGCATTCCCTCCTCTACTTTGCTCTCATTTCTGTCTTCTTACTGGCCATCAAGCTCCATTTGTACCTGGGGTAGAGTCTCAGAGACGACTGTGAAGGCACGAATTTCTTTTCTTTTCTTCCTCTTTTTTTTTTTCAATTTAACCAAAAAAAAAAAAATTTGCGCCTCCACGGTGGCGCAAACGTAAACCAGAAATGTCAATAGTAATGTTATAGTAGTAGTACTTGTATCTGCTGTTTTAAATACTTGGGCTGGGACTTTTCGGTTTTCCCGGCCGGAATCTACTGCAATATGTCTAAGTCGAGAGTTGCACCTTATCCATTCATTCAACTGCTTCAATTGAGTTACACTGTTCATTGCTATTTGCACGAACGGTCGTGCTCTAGCCTCTAGGCGATTGCTTCATCAATTACGAAGATTAGGTGAAATTACACAGCGTATTGGTGGTGAATTGGTGGAGTGGATTTCGCTTATAGAGTGGATCGATTGTGACGTTGAACTCATTGGTTACCAATCAAAATTCTAGCTTCTTCATAGATATAATAGATATATACATGTGTGTGTGTGTGTGTGTGAGAGAGAGAGAGAGAGAAATTGTCTACAACAACTTTACAGTGGACACAATTGGCAGGTTCCCAACTGCGTTGCACTGGGCTGATAGATGGCAAAGGCAGCAGGCAGGAAAATCCAATTAAATGGTAGTAGTAATAACAATAATAAATAAAGAATACAAAGACGGAATCCACAATCGGAAATGCAAAACCAAAAATAATAAGGGAACTAAATCCGCACTTTGTACGAGTTATCATCAAATATTAATGGTACAATGCCTTAGTGCATTAGGATGTCAATTTACGATGCTAGAGTGTGGAATTAGCTTATCTCAGAATTAAAAGGGTGCAAGTAAAAGAACAGAAGAAAGAAACAAAATCCGAAACGCCTTGTTCTTTGGAGGAGTGATCTCAAACAACGAGAGGAGGAAGGTCCATGCAACTAGTAGTGGTATTATAAAACTCTGAAAGGGATTGATGTAATTACATCCACTGCAAAGGCATTCAATGACTTGCAAGCTTTTATTCGGCCAACAATTTGCCGCCGTAGACAATAGTCAACAAATTCATTCCAGTCATATATTATTGTATGCCAATAAATTATGGAGTTACTGCTTAAAAAGAAATCTCTGTACCAACTCCGAATAATTCTAGGCTCGTCTCATGAAGGTGGTTGTGAGGTCAAATCATGGCTTGTTTTTTCCTTTTTTTCTTTTTTTTTTTCCACCAGCCTAAGATGAAATGCTAGCTGCAATGGTGATTACAGTACAGTTGCGAGAAGGAAGTCTTCCTTTCTATCCAGACCACTCATTTAAAAGAGATGATAATAATACTAATTAGGGTTAATAACAGTACTTTGTTCCCCTGAACTTAGTGGGTATTCACACTTTGTGCCCTTCAACCTTAAAACATGTACATTTTTACCCCATGAACATTAGTCAAAGCTAGAAATACCAACAAAAGTGAGTGAAATGATATTATTGTCCTTTTATTTATGAAATTATCTATAACTTAATATTATTATTTCCTTTCATTATTAAAAAATGTACATCTTCCCTATATTATCAATAATACAACAATCTCTGAAAAAAAATAGTTTACATTTATTTTATGTCCTTAAAATTTTTCCTTTTGGGTTAACATTCACTTTTTGTATATGTTTCTTTCAATTTATTATACTTTAAGTCAAACAAAAAGGATAAATAATATAATGCCAAAATAAGGATAATTACCATATATCTTATTCAAAAAGAGGTAATATTAAACTTGCTTTTTGTTTTAAAAAAAAGTAATTTTTATCATTTCAGTTTACGCAAACTTTTAACTTAATACCATTTTCATTTTTGTTGATATACTCATAGTTTAGTATTATTGCTTTTTCTTCTTTAAAAAAAATGAAATTTGATTTTATCTCCACTTTTCTTCTTTAATTTTAAAACTAAGGCATATCAACCATTTTTAGCGAATTTGATTAAGAATTTAATATTGGAATAATTTGATAAATGAAAATGACAATAATATTAGTATAAAAGTTTAAATAACTTAAAATAATAAGAAATACTTTAAAAAATTAGTTTAGTAGTATAACCTTTTTGAAATTTTGGCAATTGTATTCATTTTAGGCATTGTGTTATTGATCCATTTTGTTTGACTTGAAATCTAATAAATTGAATAAAACACATATAAATGTGAACATTAATCCAACAAAAAAATCAAAGACATAAACTAAATATTAACCATCTTTAACTTTTTTGTAGTTTGATATTTCTATGCAGTTGATATGATTGAGATTATGCAAATCTTTTAGCAATGGAAGAAAATGATACTAAAATTACAGATAAGTTCATGAATAAAAGGGTAATAATGTCATTGCACAGTCCGCATGACAACCTCGCCCGACCGTGCCCGACAGGCAGCCAACATGCACTCATATAAAGATGTCCTAACAGGAAAACTGGAACTGTTAGTAGACCCAAACTCTCTTCTCCCAACTGCTTGACAAGCCATGCGGGCTTATCAGAAGCATGGAGGCTATACTAGATGTTACTAGAGGTGTGTAGAGAGTTGTAGAATATTCCGGAATGCTCTAATGTAGGTCTAGAGTTTGTACATAAGAGTCTAACTATTTGTAGAAAGTTCTAGAGACTAAGTGTAGGGAGAATTCTCTAGAATGTTGTATAGCATTCTTGGCTTGCCTATAAATAGGCCAAGCCCTCTCATTTGTAAACAACGGTGGAAACACTCTTGTAAGCGCTTTCAAGTGCAATACAAGCTTTCCTCTTAGCCTCCAACATTTCCCTACTCGTTTCTTTCTTTATGCTTCCGCACATTTACCGCGCATAGGAGCAAAAGCTGAATTAGCCAACTATTCATAGCTAGAGTCGCAGACGTTTGCTAGTGTCACACGGTGTGAGTGCTTATAGGGAATTAGGCAGCCCGTAATAGGTGGTATCAGAGTTTGATACCAAATTTGCGTGGAAACGATAGCAGGAATAGCTTCGAAGTCACCACGGAGCCGCAAGAGAAACACGTTGCAAGAGAGCATGAGAGAGCCGCTCCTAGCCGTGCCAAGGGCAAAGTATGAGTACTCCCTTTAGTTTGAGGGGCAAAGCATTATCAACCCTAATAATGATCTACACGTACAAAGTTTCGGGTCGGGTGTTATCCAAATGCAGCAGAACACCCAAATGCAGCATGCTACTGCCTACTGGTAATATTTATCACGTCACTCGCTTTCAGGTCTACTAACCCGAAGGTAGCTTTTTTCACCTTTTAAATGGTAATAAAAGATGAGAACTTGTTTTAGTAGAGCTTCAGTTGTTCACACGTTCCGCTATTGCTAAAAGGATCGTGAATGAGTGGTTCGAGTCTTCTCTAGTGTAGGGCCCCATGCGTTTTTCATGAATCATCTACGTCTAGTCACTCTCTTTCCCGTCAAGAAATTGCATACAAAATATAGTAGATCAGCGTTTTTATTTTACTTGCATCGTACATATAAGTTTTAATTAATTTTTATCTCGCATTCATTATATCTTAAAAAATGTTACATTAATTATTTTAAATAATAAAACCCCAAGCATCCTCTTCTGTATTTTGGTTCTTTACAAAAAATGGTATAGAAATAAAATTGCATTCTATTACGAGAAAGTGTTGGTACTTTTTTTTCGAATACGATAAATTTTATTCTATACATATACCTATTATGTAGTAAGGAGAAGGGGTGGATTCAAGCATATCAATGGAAAAATTGGAAAGAACTGAAGCGCATTGGTATTTTAAAATTACATAAGATTTTACTAATTCTGTTTTTAATTCGCAAGAAGAACCACATACCGTCTGGAATCATTGGATTTGTTTGGATAGAGTATTATTTGAAATAATTGATGTAACACTTTTTATGATGTGATGTATGTGAGATAAAAAGATAATTAAAAATATAAAAAATAAGTTAAAAAGTATTTATGATACAAATCAAATATTAAACAAATCCATTATTACTTTCCCCATGCAGGGGCAGCGCTGCTCTTTCAAGTAAACTTTCGGCAGCAATTTTTTTGTTTTTTATTAACTCCCCGGTAGCTAAGCTTCCCGACTGAAGCAAACTTGCCTTCGCTTTTAAAAGACCATTAACTTATTAGTATTAGTAGTACTCGGTGCTTTTAAGTTTTATAAGCATGCAGCTCAAGACGAAAAATCAACCCAGTTGCTTCCCTTAGCTATACTACTTCCGCGCGAAATTCCAGACAAACGCAAAAAAAAAACCAATAATAATAATAATAACACGCACTACTAACCGTCGCGTAGCAAATCGAATGCAGTGTATCTCATCACCCAAAGCTATGAAAGCCACTTAAAAAAAATTCAGAAAAGCTATGTTTATGATTTTTAATTAAACAAAATGGCGTGGTGCAGCGGCAAGATGAACGGCAGCCCAATCTTTAAGATACTGCCCGTCTGCCACGTACTACTAAATGCTTTTGGGTCACAAGGACCGTAACCCCATCCCCGTTGCCCGTTTCACTTGTAACTTTTTGGTATGCCCCAAATCCACCAGCTTTTCTACTACTACTGCTAACTTTATGACAACTATTTTAGCTGTATCCTATTCCTCCCATTCTCGTTATTCCTTTCTTCGCTCACTCCTTCAAGAATCCGCTGCCTTTTTTTTTCAAGCCTATAAGTGGTACGGTGTAATCAATCTTTCTTAGCTTAGCAAAACTGGTGCGTAGTGATAGTAAAAGAAAGAGGGAGGTAGGGAAGGCAGGACTCAGGAGAGACGAGATCCAGCAGCAGTAGCAAGTTGTGAGAGTAAGATGGCAGATTGGGGGCCGGTGGTAATAGCGGTGGTGCTGTTCGTGCTGTTGAGTCCAGGGCTGTTGATTCAGTTACCGGGGAGATCAAGAGTGGTGGAGTTCGGAAACATGCAGACAAGTGGGCTGTCGATACTGGTTCACACCATCATCTTCTTTGGCCTCATCACCATTTTTCTCATTGCCATTGGGGTTCATATCTACACCGGCTAGACCAAACCACACCAATCCCCCCCCCCCCAGCTAGCTTCTTCTTCTTCTATAAACGTTTTTTCCTATTGCTGTCTCTGTCTGTCCACAGATATCTTGATTTCTTAATTTCTTCTTGTTTGCTGGTGTAGTTTGACTGGGTTGAGCCCCTGAAGCTGCACGGGATTTTATCGTGTTCTCATTGGGGGAGGGGGCCACTGTGCGGTTGGTCTGCTTTAATTTGCTTTCGTTCAGTAATCGGTGTTGTTTTGGGCATTTCAAGTGCATCAACTGATCGCATTTCAGTAGTATTTGCAATCTATATACTGCTGCCGTGCTACGTTACTAGCATAAAAAAAGCAGCTGCGTCTTTACTTGTACTTGCAAATTTGTGCACGCATTCTGCGATCTCTTTAACCACCACCACCACCACATTGATTAATTTCTGTCTTGAAACTCGTTTCTGAAAATGGATGAGCGATTTGAGATTTGCCGTTCCCTTGACCCGACCCATCTTCAATCAATAATTTTTGGTGTTATCTGAGCCCTTTCACTAAAGTGATAGTCTAGTTGCTTAATTGCTTGAGGATTAGCCCCGCAATCTAGCACCAAAACGTAAACAATTCGTATTCGTTACCGTTGCCTCAAGAAGACTTTAGGATGCGATTCTTCCACCAAATTCAACAAATGCATGGACGAATCCAGCGCATCAGGCCCTGAGCTAGTCCGGTGCGCTTTGAAATCCTGCCAACACAAGTCATCAATCCTCCAGACATCTGGTGTTTTCTTGCATCTGGCGTTGAAACCCGGACATGCCTGTCCTGGTAAATTAGTTATTGATCCGACTTTTACTTCTGGTACCCAAAAAGAAAGAAATACTAGTACACATTCAACAGCTGACAATTCGTGCCTGTTACTTGCTCTCTGTCTCCAAATGAAAGGATGCGCGACGGAGAGAGTATACATTCAAAGGCACAAAAAGCCATCGTAACATAACGTGGTGCAGAGATGTGTTAAAACTGTAGAAAGAAATTGGTTTCTCCTATTTCTTTGTTTTGAGTAGTAACAATAATGCTCCCCCTATATATGCTTCTTCGATTACTTGTACAGCGCGCCCTTTCCGGTCTTTAATGCAGAGGCCATATAAAAAAAAAAAAAAAATAGACCCAAGAGAGAGAGGTACGGGTACCCAAAAGACTGGGCACTGTTCCTAAAAGTTTAAATCAAAGCCAGCTCCAACCTTCCATGTGCTAATACTACAGAGAGCAGCAGCCAGCCATAAGAAAAATCAGGCCGCTCAATCTTGCCGAGCATCTCCCAACTAATCTAAACTGCTTCACAAGAGCTTCCAGGCTGCAGCAGAGATAGAACAGGGGAATTTTATTCAGCAAGTCTTCGATGCAGTGATTTCAGACCATTTTACCATTTATTTACCAGAAAACAGAGGACAACAAAAGCCAGATCAGATCAGGAAAGCATGTGCTATGGCACAGAGTACCAGGTAAAATATGGTTTTACTCAATGGAATAAGCCACTATTACCTATTACTTTATAAAATAAATTAATTAATTAAAAAAAAAAAAAAAAAAGAAGAAGCAGCTTTCATGACACACTTGCTACTATCTTTCAAGTTCTAGAAAACAAATCGATATAACTCAGATACTGGACTACTAGAGAATTTCCATGACGAGATATCTTTAACACCACTAGCAATGGCCAAGAAATGTTGGTAGAATGAAGTCAACTTGAAATTACACCACCATATGGGGTCCCGACTCCCGAGTAAAATTGAGACTGCTGTTCTCCTCAAATTCACGACACAACTTAAAACGTGGAACAAATGATGCCAGGGCCACTTCCACAGTGTCAATCACTCGCAGGAAAAAAATTTTCAAATCAGTCAAAGGAAGTAGTTATCCGGTGAATGAAAGGACGATAAAGGATCTCAAACATTTCTTTAGTAATCACATCAGTGACGCGTGGGAGAGACGCAAAAGGACAGTTCTACTGCATGCACAATACTACACTTTGTAAAGCCTTCGCCAAAGTGTGACTGAAAATGAGACTGAAAGGCCACAAGATTTAGAGTAATCATACATGTTAAACACACCGAACGCCGGAGCACAAATAATTCACTGCTATTGTTCGGTAAACACACACACACACACACACAAGCACAGAGCCCAGAACCGTACAGGAAGCAGTCACCATCCATGCAACTGCGTACACACAAAAATGTTGGCACGCATTGCATCAGTCGTAAACCAAAAACGCTTTTGCAAGTTTTACCAGAAAGTGCCATTGCAAAGGAGAGAGAGCTTGAGAAATCATCACACAATGAGTGTGGTGGTAATTTGCATCTCACCATACAATACAACAATCTAAAGATACACAAAGCATCTTGAAGTTGGCAGGAAGAGCACATCCATTAAGATGGACAACGAATGCGAAGTCCTTAATCCACTCCAGAGATTGTGAATGGACTAACAAAATTCATAACAGGTAAAAACAAGCCGTCGCACCCATAATTAAACAGCCCCAAACTCTTGTATCTGGCAACTAATACGTCACAAGGACACTTTGTTAAGAAAGTGCTAATTAGCCAATTACAACCAGAAAAAGACATTCTTGATAAGTTAAAGACAAGACCGACATATCTGGCTAAGCAAGTTTCATTTCACAATCTACAGAGTCATTAAAATTCCACCCCCCATAGCTAGCACAATCATAAGATCAGGCTACCGGTAAGTCAGAACCACGCATCAATTTACCTAGCTAAGAAGCAGAGGGTCTGTTTGGATTGTGAATTATTAGAGATATTTTTACTGTAGCACTTTTTGTGATGTGATGTATGTGAGATAAAAAGGTAATTGGGAAGGTAAAAAGGTGTATTGAAAATTGTAATGATGATGTAAGCAAATAAATTTTGAGAAATAAAGCCCAGTCCAAACAAAGCCAGAATCGTTTACGTTTATCGCTAAAGAAAAAGAATATAATACTCTCTCTCCGTCCTATTGAAATTGAAATAGGACAGTGCCATGTTTTTCTTTACAAAGTTTTAAAATGTTGGTCACCTTACTAAAGTTTAGAGTCAAAAGTTACTTTATTCTCCTTTTCTAATATTATCCCACTTTAATATGCATTCCATGCCTACTAAATTCAGATTTGGAGGACAATTTTGAAAACAAATCCACTAACCTCACCATCAAGGTGTATGCGACAAACAATTTAATTTGGGTGGAGGGAGAACTAGTTAAGCCAAAAAAAAACTAAAAACTAAAAACGTGAAGTGAAACGAAGAATCTTACAATTACAATCCTTTCTGGGAGATGGCGGGCAGGAGCTGTGACAAAGAATCGCCCGTCCCAGCATAGACAAGCTTGAAACCAACCCAACTGCATAAAAGACCATCACCAATCCGATCACCCAAGGCATCAAAAGGAACCCAATAAAGAAAGTCACCGATCCACACAGCATCAGCGCCAGAGATATCCCCAAAAGCAAAGAAGCAAACCCGGCCGGTGTAATCTGTTGCATACCCGTCTGCCTTCTCCTCACCGCCAACCCAGTTGCAGACGAGGAAGATTCATCCGACGGGACACTGTCAGACTCGTCGGAAAACTCAATCGGAGTCGGTGGAGATCGTAAAATGTTCATAATCATTGCTGACAGCTCGTAAAACACCTTCGACTGCTGATCTTGTTGTCTCCCCATCGTGTTTCTTCAATTTCCTGTTACAAATCTATTTTTGAAAAATTCGCAAAATGCCAATTCCAACCCGGAACTATAAGAAAAGGAAAAGCTTGATTCCTGGAGCGATCAAATGGAAAAGAGGCCTCAAAAATTCAATTTGTGGAAATCGAGGCGAATGGATAAAGTTTTGAGGGGGGATTTTAGTTACGTTTATCCGTTTAATGGATTTTAAACGTTGCCAAGTTTTAAACCTTATCGGAGAATGGTGCTTCCGTAATGTTAAATACTACTACTGCTAAATTAGTAGTAATTACTAGTACTGAATTTTATATCGTGTTAGACTTAAAAAAGAGCTTTCAGAGGGACAACAACTGCAAATGGCACAAAGGAATTTTATCGTGTTAGACTCAAGACAACAAAGGCGGGGGGGGGGGGGTTTTTTTTTTTTTTTAAAAGGAATGTGTGCTGTTTCAATGACGTATAGTTGTGCAATGGGCTGCTAGTCCAGTACACATCTGCATACGGATTATTGAGGAAATTTTATGCATTTGTGTTTATTCTACTTTGCAACCCTAAAGTTCTTTTATTGTAAATTTGCATCAGAGTTTCATTTGGATGTCTCTTCTCCCGTAAAAATTTGTACCGCAATTTGCCCTCTTTTTTTTTTTTGGTAAGAAAGACTGCGTTCAAAATAACGTTTAACACAGGTTTACAGACCGAATTTTGCCCTCATTGTCAGTGAGTCGAGAGTCGGGAGTTATCGTATAAGTAGGATGTCAAGCTAGTATCTCCTATTTGAGAAACGTCAAATTATTGAAATGCGATAGCTAATTTATCATGTAAAGTTAATTCAAATACGGACACAATATGGAATGGTCATGTCTGTTGTTAGGATTAATCGCTCAAATTATGACATAAAACATCTTTAAAATTGAGAGGATTGATACGTTTTGATAAAAAAAAGTTCTAAAGTATGGTTGTCAATAATTGTATGATAATTTATCCATAAATCTTTATTCCACTAGTTTTATCCTTGTTACGTATATCTTAACGTTATACTATTATTAGCCGAGCTCAAATTCACTTAGAAATAGCTTTTTGGTGTTTAAACCCTAATTGGGATGCACGTCATCTTAACCAAGATTGTCAAGTCTTAGGTACAAAGTAAAATATGTCAAGCTTGAAGGGTGCAAATGACAAGAACCCCTTTTTAGAACGATTGCATTAAAACGATGTAGCGTGTAGGAGAAAATAGCTAGAGGAGTGCTTTATCAGGAAGGGGTGTAGTTGAGTATGGGAGAGGATAAAAGGATCCTGTTGGGTCGGTGCAACGAGGTAAGGGTGACGCGTCACGTTCTATGAGCGCTTAATGTACACGCGCAATTATTGGAGTTGTCGATCTATTCTGATTGATGCGGAGAATCTGATTCGGGGTAGCGAATAGCGATGACGTGGGGGCTTTATCTTCTCAAGACTGCGAAGGCGAGTCCACACACTGTTTGAGTGCAGAGGTGGAGGCGCGTGCAGGGGATTGTTGACGGTGGACTACCGTGGCACGGCGGGCGTTGGTTGGAATGGAATGGTTTAGCAGTGGAGTTGACAACCACGTGTCCCTGAGTTGGCTTTTTATCAAAATTTTTGCTGACTGATTAGTTATATCACCTTCGTGTTTTCCAGAATAAGGGTCAAAAAGAAGACGAGGAACAAATAGCTTTTTTAATTTTTTCCCCCCAAAAAAAAATTTTTTTACCGCTGCTGCAGCTGCTGCCATAAGTAACCATACAAGAGTTGAGCAAGTCTTCACATACGATAAGCCAACAGCCTCTTGGACAAGCTGTTGGGCACCACTAACACTTTCAAATTTTGGTGGAGGTAAAAAATTAAGGATATAATTCTTACCTTTCATCGTATATTTATCACTTAATTATGACTATTATTTTTAGGTGACTTCTTTCGACGAAATTCTACCAGCATTCTAAATTAGACCAGTATAAGTTATATATATATTAACATTACGAAGAAAAAAAAAAAGAAAAACTTTACATAGGATAGGGTGTGACGTGCTCTATGTAGCCTAGGGACTCCCGTCACTATCCCGTCGACTGACACCAAGAGTAGTATCACCAAAGCCCTGAGAAGGACGGTCTGATATTTTCTTGCCTGATTGCATACTCTTTTTTTTTTTTTTTTCGGTTGAAGGAAATGATTGCACACTCTTGCAAAGGCCTCAGCAACAAATAGCTCATCGATAATCCGCACATTTATCATCGTCTCATGTCCAAGTCTTTATCACGTACGTATGCAAGGCTGAATTATGGAGGTGGGGCTTTTGTTTCCTCGGCCCCTTCTTAATCACCTGCTACGACCCAGACTTGTTTGCTGTCCATAGATAATGGATTAGCGCCCACGGTTCTGCTGCAACCATTATTGCTGGCTATCACCAAGTACTAATTACCAACACTTTAGATGGAAAGCCACCGAACCGGCAGCCTCTGTGGGCACTGGACTGTAAAATGTGTACTGAGCTGGACAATTACGGCTGAGTTTTAGTTGTGTTCAAATGTTTGGTGATCTTTTAGACAGCAAAGACGGATGCAGGAAAGGAAATGAATTTTATACGCTCGAGTAAAAAATTAATAGATGCGTAATCGACCAACATGAGCATAGGTATCAGCAGTGATCTGGTGGTTTCAGCTTTCTCTCCCTTTTTAAGGCGCATACAATGATATTTATTTTGTTCCTTCTTAAATTCATTTTCGGTTTTAGTTTAGCTATTGCTTCTTATTTTTCGGCTAATCCCAAGTTAACCACAAACCAAGTCGAATATTAAAAAGACTTTTGAAACCCTTTACTTTTTGGTGTTTGATCGCGACACAACATGTTGGTTGGCAGTTTCAGCCAAAATGATCATATAGTTGGTTGCTAAGTCGCTCTCCGTAGAATCTTCAACGGGGAACTGAATGGACGGTTTTGGATACGATGTTATTTCAAATCCTTGTGCTTGAATGGACTATATTTGTAAAAAATTATTTTCCTGCATTACAAACAAGTTATTTAATCATTTTTTTTAATTTTACAACTATTTTTTTTATCACACATGCGTTATGTTACAAAAAATATAATTATAATTATTCTAAATAATATTTCAAATAATAATAATATTCCAGAACTCCTGTCCTGTTTGTGCATTTTACGCACAGTCAAGCCTTTTATGCTGCTCCACGGTTTTAAAAGTCAAGAAATGAAGTGGGCATGTCTCGGGATGTTTTCTAAGTTGTTCTTGTCGTGACAAAGACCTCCTTAAAAATTGAGTGGGTAAATACTCCGATTATTTATCATTCTATCTCATTCTTCCTCACTGCTTACGCCAATTTTCATCTTACTCAGACTTGTTGCTTGATGGCTTTTCTCACCAAAAAGAAGAGGGGGAAAAAAAAAAAAAAACTTGTTAATGGAGCGAGACAAGATTAACAGGGTGGGAATAAAGTACACGTGAAGAAGAAGAAGAAGAAATTAAGAGAAGTTGTTACCGACTACGACGAAATCAATACACATTCTGAAATGCTCTCTAATTTTTATTTTTTGTTTTTCGAGCAGAATGCTCTTAAAGTTTAGTCATCCCTTTTTGTGTATTGCCTTTTTCTCATCCGTGAATTTGAAAGTTAGCAAGCACTTGAGTAGATCCGACATATGTAAATTATGTGATCTAAATTTTATCACGCCATTTCATCAACTCACGGTGTAACAAAATTTTTGAAGGTTATTGACTAGATCAGCTGGAAAGATTCAAGGGATTGCTTTCTTGAGGTTTCTGACACCTCAGCCCCGATGAAATGATCGAATTAGCCTTAAAGCTTTCAAGGGATATCTTATGTGGACTTAATGAATTAGACCACTGGTTAATCGAATTAATAGAAATAAACACAATTTAGAACTGAAAAAAAAAAAATCTAACTTGCCATGGGAGAAGGTTGCCAATTCTATTATACTAGGTTTCCTTTTCTAATTGATATGCTTGATAAAAAGCTCAATTAAATCAGATTTAAGAAAAATAAAGAAATGGATTTTTTTTTTAAATTTTTGGAGAGAAGTAAACCTTGAACGTGAGCAATTTTGCAGGTAAGGATGTGAGTAGGCATCAAACGGAGGAAAAATTGCTGTCTAGTTCTCGTTAGCAATCTGCTGACCGTGAATATCTTACTTAAGGTGAGAGAAAAGACTTTTCTGATGTTCAAGTTTAGAAGTGTTGTTAGTTACGTGTTTCTTAATTTTTTTTCTTGATCACGCCGAATAATAGCCCTACAAGTGAAATGAATAGGTCCAATCATGCATAAATTGAAAAACATGACATGATCATTTTATATTTCATACTCTCTTATTGTTTTTTTTTTTTTTTGCTACACTTATATAAGATTGTGTTTGGATTACATTTTTCATGAAAAAATTATTGGACCGATTTAATGTATATAAAAAAAGATAATAGAAAAATATAATCACGAAAAATGACATAATTTTCCAATGAAAAATCGCAATCAAAACAAGGCGTGTTCGCAGACTGACCGTTTCAAAGAGTGGCTGCAGAAGCTGATGCCCATGTATTTGCACTTACAATCCTCACCTTTGACTTTATTAAAATAACAATTTATATTTTTATACTAGATTAACTAACTAACGTAACGTATGAGAGGTATTTGGGGAACCACATTTTTTTCTCTCCTAAGATCATTTTTTTTTTTTATTGGGCTAACTTGTTACAAGATAATTAGTTTTAGAGAGATTCATATAAATTTCAAAACTTTGAAAGATGTCAGTGCAACCGTCAGAAATTTCATAAGAGGGTTTTGAATTATGCCTAGGTTCAAATGACAACTAGATCCTTGTTGTAGACAAATCATAAAATACAGCAAACAAGTTGGAAAAAGGCAACTTAATCCTGAGATCTGCTGAAAAAATTATTTTTACCCCTTTTCCTCGTCATCAATTCCCTCCCACCCCAACTGACTAGCCAAGGAATTGATTCCTTGACCAATTAGCAGGAGAGAGCTTTAACTCCCTTCCCCCTTGAAGATCAGTAGACAGTTGTGGTCTGTAAACACCAAAAAGTAAAATCAAGTTGATAGAAAACTACTTTTTACATATAAAAAGTTTCCTTTATTCAAAAGGATAATTTCAAAAATCTCTCATGAGGTTTGTGATAATGTCACTTAGCACTTTTTAATTTTGAAAAATATCACTTAATTTCCCTATTTTTAACATTTTATAATATTCCCAACCAATTTCAAAATATATTGTTAAAAAAATTATTGGTGGTTAGAGATAAGGATGACAACGGGGCGGGGTTGGGGCGGGGGACCCCTCCCCCATCCCCTGCTCCGTTGCCTATTAGTTCCCCCCGTCC